ACCGCCCCCCTCACCGCCCACACCCACACACCTTAGCCAGTTGCGGCGGCCTCCGCAGGTGCGGACGACTGCGCGGCCTTTTGCGCCAGACGCCAGACGTGGCAGATAGAGTCTCGCTCCTGTGGGCAGTTCTCCGCGTCCCGGGTAGAGCGAGCTCCCGAGGTGCTACCCGCCCGCTGCGCGCATTGGACTCCAAGTCGATACGAGCGCGCCGCGCGTGGAGCACGCGGCGCGCTCGCATCGATTCGCCACTTCCAGCGTGAGGTGGGGTGTGTAAATAGCTTCAAAGGAGGACCAAGCCGCAAGCGCACCAGCGACACAAGGGACCGTTCTACTAATGCCCTCAAACCAGGGACCTTTGGCAAAGGGGCTGGGAATGCTGCGCTCTCCCACCGCCACCCCCCGGCCCCGCGCCGCCCGCGCCCGTCCGCCGTCGAATTCATCGGGACACGGGACGCGGGCGGCGGGGGCTCTCTCGGCTGCGGACGGCCTACGGGACCGGCCCCAGCTTCGGCTGAGGGCTGAGGTAGTGGTAGTGGTAGAGCCCGACAAGCTGCCGAGCCCGAAGGAGGTGGGGTCCTCCTCACACCCGCCGTCACCCCGGCGGCCCGCGCACGCACGCCGTCTGAGCCTAGCGCAGCGCGAACTCGCTCTGAGCCTAGCGCAGCGCGAGATTTGCGCAGCAACCCGGCCGGGCAACCCTTGAAAAAAAAATTTTTTACAGCGCCTGACTTCGTCGATATCTGCGCCCTCTTCGATTTCTCTAGTGTAAAGTGGAGGTGTGCAGCTCGTCGCCAAGTCGGCAATGCTGCGAGCCGCGCTCGCCCTGCTCTGCGCCGCGCTGCCCGGCGGCATCCGTGCGTTTGCCCCCAGCGACTGCGCGTGCGCGGTGGTGCGACCCGCGTCTGGCTCGCTCGAAGGCCTCTGCATCGCACCACTGCCTCCGATGGAACAAGAAGAGCTGGACCGCATCTGCACGTGCCATGCCGCACCTGGGGCCGTCTCAGCATGGCTGGGCCGCGTCCAGGAAACCCCAATCGATTGCGATGCAGCAGCGGACGACGCGCTGAGGCGGGGGCTGATGAGGCTCAAGGCCCCCGGCAGCGCGCACGCCGTCGCCGCCGCGGCGCAGGGGGGTCCGCTGCCGGTCTTCTGCTCCGACTCCGACGAGGCCATACAGGCGTGGGCTGCAAACCACAGCACCCCGGTCGCGGACGACCCCTACGTCACGACGGGGGCCCTGCAGAGCTCAACCACGATCAAAAGCGAGCTCAACCCCATGGACACGCCGTTCGTGTGCCACGAGGAAGGCGACAACTTCTTCCTCTGCCACGAGACTCCGGGCGCCAAGCTTTACCCGGTGGTTGGCGCGGAGGGGAAGTTCGACGTGCTGTGCCACCCGGCGTCGGCGCTCGACGACGTGGCAGTCTTGGTTCAAGGGTTACTGGCCCGCAAACAGAGCAACATGCTTGCAACCGGGCCGTCCACCGCCGTGGAGGACAGCTACTGCCATGCTTTGGGCAACGGCACCCTTGTGTGGACCCTTGCACGCTAGCTTGTGGCCTGCGACCACGGGCAAGGGGTTCCGCACATGCGTTGCCAGGACGCGGCTTCGCGGTTGCTGGTGCCCGCGACATCTGGACGCCGTCGTGTCGCCGGTCTGACAGCACCTTACCTCTGCCCCCCCCCCCCCCCCTCCCTGCCTCTGCCTCCCATACGCCATAGGGCAGGATAGCACGAGCATATGGTACGGGTCCCAAGTATGGGTTCGGGACGTATTCACAGTGTGATGGTAGGGGACACCTCTAGTGTGACTTCTTTTAAGCATAACTGCCGGCCCCGGGGGCCGCCCCCCCGGCCTACGCGCTACGGCTAGTTCCAATTCACCCTGAGGCCTGACACGCTAATCTCTTGAAAACGTCCATCGCGCAACGGTATCGGTAGTCGGTAGGGGGTGGACAGCGCCCCAAAATCCACCACTGTGGGATTTCGCGCAATCGCTTGACTCTTGAAAAGCTCGCCTACGGGCAACGGGGTGTGTGGAGGGTGAGTTGACCAGGGGGTTGTGCGCCGGGCCCTCCTGCTCCGCCGCAGGAGCCTGTTGATAGGTCCATGTGATAGCCCTGGATGGGCAATACATACGCCTCACTGGACCTCAGATCGCCCGACCGCGTCCCGGTGCTCTGCCGTCGGATTTGTGACGCCGCCGCACCGCGCCGCGGGCGCGGCCGGGGGCCCTCCGGAGGCCGAGGATGGCCGTGGCGGACCGGGACGAGCTCTGGGAGGGGGGGGGTGTCAGTGAGTATATTGTAGAGACTAACCATGTGCACAATAACTCTCAGTCTAGCTAAGCGAGGGGAGGCGATTCCGGGGCCGTACAGCAGCTTGACGTGCTTCGCCGGCGTGCGTCCCGGAGCGGTGCCGGAGCGCGGCGAAATCGGGGGACACCGTCACCGACGAGCGCGTTGGAGTATTCACTCCGGACAAAGACGGGCACACAGCGGACGGTGCGGGGCGTGTGCCCGTCATAGCGGCGAGGCGCGGGACCGTCTGTGGCGAAGTGGGTCGCGTCCCCCGATTTCGGTCAACCCAGCATCCACACCCTTTATCCCTGCGGTGAGCGCTGTGGTCGCCGCAGACTGGCTCCGACTTGACGGGCGCATGGAGACGTGATGCCTCAATGGACCATGGCACCATGCGCCCGTCGAGTCAACATCGATATGTGTGTCTCGATATGCGCACCCTCGGACATGCTTGCACCGTCATCATCGAGATTTTTAGATTTTTGTCATCGAGCGGAGCGGCGCAAGAAGGGGGGGGGGCGGCGGCGAGGCGCCGGTGTGGGTGAGCGAGGCGCCCGCGCCATCAGAGGGACCGCCGCTGCGAGATGGAGGGCGGCGGTGACGGAGGCGAGGCGCGAGGCGGCGGCGGCGGCGGCGGCGGCGGCGGCGAACGGCGGCACCGAGTCTCGGTGAGCGGCGGCGGGAGGAGGAGCAGCGGCGGCGCTCGCTCGCTGTTGACGGGAGCGCTTTTGAGCCTGGGAGCCCATGCCACTGCGACCGGCGTGCCCGGGAACGGAGATCGCGCGCGCGCCGCCACTCACGACGCGCGCGCGATCTTCGCGGAGTCGGGTCCCCAGAGGGAAGCGGTCTTCTCGGCCGACGTCCAGCGGCGCGCAAGGAAGCAGGCGCAGCGGAGGCGGCCTAGCACCGGCTCGGCGCCGGGCGGTTGCGCTGCCCGCGAGCTGCGTCCTGAGCCTCGGCAGCGCGCTGCGCGGCGCGGCGCTCGCGCCGCTGCGGTGCCGAGAGCGGCATGATGGTTCGCCAGCCGAAGCTCGAGACTCCTAAATCGAGCACAATTGCGTTACCCGGCCGGGGTTTCTCACTGAACGATCTTACTTTCAGTCTATCGAAAGTGTTGATCGATAATCAAAATGTATATGGCCACCACTCGCAGGCTCGTGCTGTACGGCCGCAGCTCCTCGCTAAACACGCAGCGTGTCCTCTGGTGCCTGCACGAGACTGGCGTCCCTTTTGATCTGAGGCTCACGAGCGCGACGCTCGGAGAGAGCGGCCGGCTCGGCGGCACCGCTTTCGGAGGCACCGAGGACCCGGGGTTCGTTCGCTGCTCGCCCTTCGGCCAGATCCCCGCGCTCTCCGATAGCGCCACCGGCGCGCAGCTGTGGGAGAGCGCCAGCATCATCCGCTACCTCGCCGCAGTCTACAAGCCGAGCCTGCTCGGGCCGGCCGTGCCGGCCTACAGGCCGCAGGAGGCTGGCTATCGGCTGGCGCAGGCTGCGCGCGCCTCCGCCTGGATGGACTACCACCTCTCGACGTTCGCCGCGGGGGCAAACATCTACGGCCACGACGACTTTATGGGCAACCTCATGACGCACCTCGTCAGGATGCCCGCCGGCGGTGCACCCGTCACCGTCGCAGCGCACGGCGCTCAGAGGCAGATGCAGTTCTGTGACGAGACCGTGGCGCGCGCGGCTGAGGCGGCGGCGGCGCAGTTTGGCAGGCTGGACGCGCATCTGCGCTCGGCCGGCACGCCCTACCTGGCGGGCGACGAGCTCACGGCCGCTAGCGCCAGAGCGCTCTGCCGGCGGTTGCGCGCGGCGCCTTCACAGTCGGACCGATCTCGTTGCGCGTAGGTCGCCGACATTCCGCTCGGCGTCGAGGCGTTTCGGTGGAGCTTGCTGCGGAGGCGGCTGCCGGCGGGGGCGGCGGAGGCGCCAGCGGCGCCAGCAGCGGCAGCGGCGCCAGCGGCGGCGGCGGCGGCGGCGGCGGCGGCGGTGGAGGCGGCGGCGGCGGCGGCGGCGGTCGACACGCCATCGCTCGACGGGTGGCTCGAGCGGCTTAGGGGGCGGGTGGCGTTTGTGAGGGGTGTGGTGGAGCCGGAGGAGGAGCACCACGCGCCCACGCCGTGAGGACGGTCTCGGCTCTCGGGCTGTAGCTCTACTGGCCGGGTTGGAGGTTGCTTCGCGGGTTGGTGCAGGCGCCGCTCTCACTGCCTGAGCTGTGTGTGACCTCGATGTGTGACCCTCCCTCCCTCCCTCTCCCTCTCCCTCTCCCTCTCCTTCGCAGCTTCGCTCCTTCCCTCTCTATCTCGCTCTCTCTCGCTCCACATCTCTGTCTCTCCGCTCTTGCTACTGGCAGACTCTCACTGTCGCGCTCACCGTCCCTCCTCTGGTCTGTCTCGCTGTCTCGCGCATCGCGCTCGGACACGCGCCGTACGTCCAAGATCCAGGTCCTGCAACCGCTGAGGTATAGAGGTGATAGATGTGTGTGGCGAGATCATGTTCATGAGATTTTCATGTGTGTGGTACGTGGGACACAAAAAAATAATCGTATGGTCGCTCTCTCTCTCTCTCGCCGACATGGAACGTGGTTGCGTCTTGTGACATGCTCTGCGTCTGCGCTCTGGCGGGACGCGCCGCGCAGTGTACTCGTGGCGACTACATTTATCCCTCTCGCTGCTTTCTCTTCACCGCCCTCTCGGACCGTCGACCGGTCTCGCGCGCGCACGCTCGCGCCTCCCGGTCGCTCCCCTCGCTCCTCGCCCTTACGCTTATACGCACCTTCAGCTGTTGGCCCTCGCTACGTACACACCTCACCGTCCCCACCCTCGCGATCGCGCCAGCACGCTGATCACGAATCAAAAAGCCTTCACTTCTCAAGACACCACCGCTGCGCAGAGAGGATCGCCGCCGACACGGCGAGGGTGACCGCCAGCGCCGCAAGCACCTCGTCGTGGGCTTCGAGCTCGACGACCGCGTCAATGGCGCCGCTGACGGCGCCGCACCACGCGCCGCCTTGCATCATCGCGAGAGCGTTGGCAACGAGCCGCATCTCGGCCTATCCACGCGAGGCGGCGCTCAGCAGCCGCCCTTTTTGTGTCACACACAGCACCGGGCAGTTGCCTCGGCCCGCTCGGAGGCGGCGGGGCTCGCCTCATCGCGGAGGGCGAGGAAGGCAGTGGACGCGGCGGTCGTGCAGACGGCCAGCGCGACCATGCCGCCGAGGCTCTCGTCGTACGCGGGATACACGGCCTGGGGCCATAGAGGGCGAGGTCAACGTGTGCACGCTTGTGAGGGGCAGGCCAGGGTATGATGATGCCTTCGCCGCGTCGAACCAGGCCCAGCCAGTCAGGAAAGCAATCGACTGGAGCAGCATGGAGGACACGGTGTCGAGCAGATCGTTGTGCGCCTTTCGCCAGGCCAGCGTGCGCCGCAGCGCCGGGAGAGAGAGGCTGCTGTGTGAGCGGCCTCGCGCGTGGCCCTCCTCCATCTCGACCGCCTCCCAGAATTTGCGGTGCTGGCTCGACGCTGAGGAGGGCGTCACTGCTCGCCAGCCGCCGCCCGTGCTGTGCCACGGCCACCACCCGCCGAACGGGGAGCCCCCATTGTCCTGGCCGCTCGTCGCGAGGCCGCCCGCCTTGTCGTGCGGCCCATGGGGGGCGAGCGAGCGGGCGGCGGACAGGTGCTCCCTGAGGGCAAGAGGCGGGCTGGAATCAGAGTGAGAGTCGAACCAGCGTAACTTTTCCGTTGCGCGTAGCCACCTCGCCGCGCGCTGGATGCGCACAGCATTGAGCAGTCGAAGCTCCGCCTTCACCTCCGCCTTCGGGTGGACATCGACAGTGAGGCTGCGGCGGTGCGGGAGTGGGGATGCGACTTGTGACATGGCAGAGGACGTACGGCGCGGCGTTACCTGGCGGCTTGCGTGGAAGCGGCGTACCGCATTCTCGAGCAGCGCGGCCAGCGTGTTGATGGAGACGGCAAAAGCCACGCGCAGCAGCAGGTGCGACGGGAGCTTCTCTACTCGCATGCCTCTCGCACCAGCGCCACAGAGGGTTGCGTTGCGGTCGCCCGTCTCAGGCGCCTCAACGAGGAAAGCGGCGTAATGGTCGAGAGCCATCACCTCGTCAAAGGCCTGGTCCCACGACGCCGCCACGCCGAGCCCAAGCCCACTTGCAAGCAGTGTCCTCATGCCCGATAGCACGCTGACGCGGAGCACGTTGCTACCGTGGTAGATCCTTGCCTGCCGGTGCGAGTGGTTCGCGAGCGTGACAGTCACGGCAGCCACCGCGGTGGCCGCGGCGGCAAACGCCACGTCAAAGAGGGCGACCCCCTCCTTGATATCGTCGGCCGGGGCGGCAGCGTCCAGCTCATGGGTCAATGCACTGTCGACCTGCTGATGGCAAGCATTGATGTGGCCCTTGAAGGCCCAGCCAGTGAGCATGCCGAGCGAGGCCGGCAGGAGGTCGCGGAGGCTTCGCGCGTAGCGACGCCTTGACGATCGAGATGAGCGTGCCTGAAGCTCGCCCACCTACTGCCCCTGAGAGTTGGTTATTGAGTGGGATCAGCTCCCCCCCTTGGGATCGAAGCCGCCACAACCTCACTCTCTCTCTCTCTCTCTCTGTCTGAGCTTGTGCGTCTTGGGTCCGTGTTTTTGTGTGAATAGCAGGCTGCAGTCGAGCCTGTCGGCGTCGTGTGCGATGGGGTTGGACGAGAAGCTCAACCGTCTGCAGCTGCGCGTGCTGCAGACGGCAGACCAGGGCAAGCTCACTGACGGCCAGCGCGCCGTGATCGAGGGCCTGCCATCGCCGCGTGGCCACCGCAACCAGCCCCCATCGCCGCTGAACCGGAGCGCGGCTTCCACGCCACTCGGGCTCGCCGGGCGCGAGAGCGGGAGCGAGGCGCCCCTGCTGCGCGGCGACCCCTTCATGGCGCCCGACTACTCCTGCGAGGAGGAGGAGGAGGTCTCGATCGAGACGGCACTCGAGGCGCTCGGGCACGGCACGCTGCAGCGGCGGCTGCTCGGGATCGCGCTGCTGCTCGAGCTGGGCGCGTTCGCGCAGCCGGCCCTCCTCGCCGCCCTCACCGACCCGCACGCCACGTGCACGCTGCCCGGGGCCGACGGCGCAGCGCAGTCCACCGCCTCTGCCGCCGCCGCCGCCGATTCGACGGCGCGCGATTCGACGGCGCGCAGCCTCGTCCTCGCAGCGCTGTGCGGGGCGGTCTTCGGCGGGTGGGCTCTGGGCCGGGTCTCGGACACTGTGTCGCGCCGCGCCGGCCTGGCCTCCTAGAAGCGGAGTGGGGGTACTTGCAGTCCACCTAGCACACGGGAGGACGCGCGTATTCGGCGGCACTCCCCGCCCCCTCTTCCGCGGCTCCACTCCTCTCTAGCCGTTGTGTTCACGCGGTGCTCCGAGGACACTGCACGATCTCCCACATCTCTCCCCATCTCTCGCCATCTCTCGTGTACTCACGCGGTGCTCCGAGTACACGGCACGACTCCGTACTCCCGCCCTGACGCTGGCGTTCCCACTCCAGGCCTCGCCACCTCCCTCGCCGCCCTCGCCGCCGCTGACCTCGTCACCGCACTCGCCACCGCTCGCCCGCCGCTGCTGCTGGCTCAGGGCGTCGCTGCGGCGGCGGCGAACGCGCCTAGAAGCCAACACGCATTCCTGTCTCCCAACCAGCGCTCGAGAGGACACGCATTCTCAGCCGTATTCGGCCGTGTTCGGCCGTGTTCGGCCGTGCTCACTGTGCTCCCACCCGTCGTCTTCACGCGGTGCTCTGAAGACACTGCACAACACCGTCTTCCCGCCCCGAGGCTGGTTCACTGTCTTCGCACCCCTCGTACTCGCGGTGCTCTGAAGACACTACACAACACCTGGTTCACTGTCTTCGCACCCCTCGTACTCACGCGGTGCTTTGAAGACACTGCACAACACCGTCTTCCCGCCCCGAGGTTGGCGTACTCCACCACAAAGGCGACCGCGACGGCCGCCGCCGCGAGCGCGCTGTACCTGGAATGGCTGCCCGCGCGGCACCGCAGTCACACCAACGCCAGCAGCGACAACCGCACCGCCGCCTTCCACCGGCTCTGGGCTGCGAGGCCTGCCGCTACGCTGCTGCTGCAAGTGGTGAGAAGGCTAGAGATGCTCACTGCCGGCGAGGATCCCCTACCCCCAGGGAGGGGGAACCCACCATGGGACGCGCGTCCAATGCGCCGTGCAGACCGAGCATTAGTTCTTAGAGAGGTGAGCGCAGGGCTTTGTCAGACCACACGGGCAGGGCACCAGGCGTTTGAGGAGGCGGCTAGCGAGGGGGCGGAGAGACGGCCCCTCTGGAGCGGCACACGGCACTAGTCCGACCATACCGCGCCAGCGTCCAGTCCCTAGCCTGCTGGCTGCTCCTCGCCTCCACACCCTACCCAGTCACCGGTCAGGCTGTTCTTCACCCCTGGGTGCACACACACACACACACACACACACACACACACACACACACACACACACACACATACACACACACACACACACACACACACACACACACACACACACACACACACACACAAGCGACGTGCGCGGTTGTCCCTCGTGGCGCAGGTTGGAAGGGCGGCGGCCGCGGCGCATGGCGGCGGAGGAGGCTCTTCAGCCGACACCGCCGCCGCCGACACCGCCGCCGCCGCCGCTGCCACCGCCGCTGACACCGCCGCCGCCGCCGCCGCCGCCGCCGCCGCTGCCACCGCCGCTGACACCGCCGCCGCCGCCGCCGCCGCCGCCGCCGCCGCCGCAGACACCGCGCCTTGGCGGTGGATTGCTTGGGCAAGTTTCCTTTTTTTGCTCCCGCCCGCGCTGCTGCTGCCGTTGCTGCGGCGGCCAGAATTCCGACGCGCGCGCCTCGCACGTTTCTTCTTCCCGCCAGCGTGTATTTCTTTTCTTGTGTAGGCTGCCGGACTCGCCGCGCGCGCTGCTGATGCGAGGGCAGGCGAGATGCCTCGAGATTCCCCGAGGTTCTCCGGCGAGATTCCTGAGAATGTTCCTGATGCAGCGCTGCTGATGCGAGGGCAGGCGCCGGCGGCGCTGGCGGCGTTGCGGTCTGCGGCCAAGGCCAACGGCGCCGAGGCGAGGACTAAGCTCGAGCAGGCGAGATTCCCCGAGATTCTCTGAGAGTCCCCGGCGAGATTCCTCGAGATGCCCCGAGAGGAATTTCTGCGGACTTCGGTCACCATATCTCCCCATATCTCGCCATATCTCGCCATATCTCGCCATATCTCCCCCATATCTCGAGCAGGCGGTCGCCGCTAAGCAGCTGCTCCCCCTCCCGCTCCCCGCCGATTGGACCAGAGCAGCGGCCGCGACCCTCCTCCTCGCCGCCGCCGCCTCGCGCCTCCACGCCACCTCCTCCGCCGCCGCCGCCGTTGCCGCCGCCGCAGGTTTAGCCATGCAGTCGCCGCCGTGCGCTTCCGCCGCCGCCTCCGCCGCCTCCTCCGCCGCCGCCGCCGCCGCCGCCTCCGCCGCTTCCGCCGCCGCCGCCGCTCGCTCCGCCTCCGCCTCTTCCGCCGCCGCGTCGGCGTCGGCGTCAGCGGTCGGCGGCGCGAGCGGAGCGCTGCATTTGCTGCTGCTTCTGCTGGAGGTCCCCGTCGCTCTGATCTCGGCGAATCTCGGCGAACCTCGGCGCTCGGCGAATCTCGGTGGATCTCGGCGAACCTCGGTGGATCTCGGCGAGTCTCGCCCTCATAGGTCCCCGTCGCTCTCGCGGTCGCCCCCCTCCTCGCGCGCACCCGCCGCCACCGCTGCTTGGTCGGGCTGGCGTGCCTCGTCGGCGTGCTCTCGCTGTTTCCCGTCGCCGGAGGGGCGAGGCTCGGCGCTGCTCTGGCGCGGCTTGTCGCGCTGGCCGCGCTGCAGGTCTCGTGGACCTCCGCCGCCGAGCTGCTTCCGACCGAGCGGCGCGTCGCGGGCATGTGCGCCGTCTTCGCCCTCACGCAGGTCGTCGCCGCCACCGCCCCCGCCGACCAGTCGATCACCGCGACGTCGCTGCTGAGCGCGGGAGGCTGCTTTGTGGGCGCCGCCGCCGCCGCCGGCTTGCCACCGAGCGCGTTCAGCTTGCGCGACACGGCGGAGATGCGGGCGCCAAAGGCGCGAGATGCCGAGGGGCTCACCGCAGTGTGAGTGGCCCCAGATATGGGCACAGCCGCCCGCGTCCCACCGTCCGTGTTCGGGGGCGCCGTGCATCCTCCAGCCACGTGTCTAATTTTAAAAAAAAGAGTTTCAGATCTTATATAGAGGCGCCCCGACCACGGTCCACGCCCCACGCGAGCAACTCGCTCCAGGCAGCAGGCTCCAGCCTACACACGCCCCGCGCGCGCCATCGGCATCGCCCCATCGTGGATCCGATCCCACGCCGCCGGATGTGCGTTGTGCCTACGCCCCGGAGCCCGGTTGCTTCCCCCCGCCGCCATGGAGAGAAGGGCCACGATGCCGCTGCTCCTGTCTGGCGCCCCCCCTCCACCCAGTGCGAGCAAAAAAAATTGCTTAGAAGAAAAACGAGCACGCATATTCTCCCCCCTCCATTCTCTCCCCCTTGGCGCGGGCGCCCCACTCCCCCCAGCCCCTGTAGCCTGTATCGCGTACTAGCTGTGGCTACCGTAGGCCACACTTGCGTCGCCGGGGGTTCCCTGCCCTAGGTGGGAAGCTGGCCGCCGATCCTAAGACCCATCGACCAGGGTTTGCTAGATCGCGCGGGGTGAATGAGTGATGAAGTTAGTGCCTTGGTGTCCGTTCCCCATGGTGGCTTCCCCTGGTCTCTAGCGACCATGAATGAGAGCTCTCACTCCCAGGGTACTCCCGCGTATCTCGGCTCCCTGCGGCGATCGCCGCATACCGTCCTATGGTGGCGAGTATCGCTACGCCAGGGAGGACAAGGGTGTCGACGTGCGGCTGCTGCTGTTCGAGTCGTTCGGCGGGTTCGGGAAGGGGGTCGGCGAGATCCTCTGGGACGCGGCGAACGTGCTGCAGAACAAGCTCTAGGGTACGATACTTGACCCCCCCCCTTGGCGCCTTGTGTTTTTCGTGCCAAACCAGCGCGATCTCGGCGGGGCGTCAGCGCCTCTCGGTGGGGCAGCATGCGCTCCCGGGGCCGCCCGACGGGGCGGGCCTCGTGCTGATGGACCCAGCCGAGGTGCCCAACCAGTTGGAGTCGCGCCGACGCGCTGCGCGCGACCACCAGCCAGCTTTCCGGCCGGGCCGAGAACGGTGCCTCGAGAATGTAGACACTCTCCGGTCCATCCGGAATTTTGTCGTTTTAGTTAGCACTGCTGCTGCAGACAGGGCCCGCGTGACCCCATGCCCTTCCCGGATCCAGCTCGCTGAGGTGTGACGTCACCCCGATGACCGCCCACAGGTGGCTGATCGAAGCGCCACTCATCGCTGCTTTCGCGCGCCTGGCTCTCAGAGGGCTCCTGCGGCTCTCCCTCGTCGCGTGACCGCCGCCGACATCATGTGCTTGGTCGTCCCCGCCGGCGCGGAGCTGTGCAGACCACCCGGCCGAACTTCAGAGTCGCGGTGCTCCTCAAATACCGCTCAAACGCCCACGATGTTGTGGAGGGGACATATGCTGATGATGCCGGCCCGATTGGTTCGCTCAGAAAGCTTCTGGGCGGTCGCTAAGGTTCGCTCCCCGCACACCCCGGCCCGGAAGTATCGTACCCTAGAGCTGACGCGGGCCCAGTACCTCGATGAGGTGACTTGGACCACTAAGAATTGGCTGGGGCTGCAGAAGCAGCGCATCTCAGTCGTTCTTCACACGGCCATCGCAGAGCAGATTGTGAATGAGCTTGCCAACGGCGAGGGCGGTCGAGTGCACGGAGCTAAGTGCCTCGCCGTCCTCGCCGGAGTCGCTTAGGCGGCTCCAGTGGTGTACCTGTGTTAGTGCCAGTGCGCGCCAGTCCCGTGCCCAGTCCTGTGCCCAGTGTTGTGCGAGGGAGTTTGGTTGTAAAATTCTTTTTGGAGAGGAGGGGGGGAGGGCGGCTGCCCTTGCCTACTCCTTATTCCTGGACGAGCCCACGTCCACGTCACCGCCGGCAGTAGGTCGCCCGAGTCCATCTCGGGTGCGGCCGGCGCTGCGTCTTCTTCTTTTGTGGTGCCACAGGTGTGGGGAGCGGGCGGGGCGGCTGCTGCGGCAGAGGCGGAGGGCGGCTGCCTGCCCCCGCCTTCTGGTCTTGGACGAGCTCGCGTTCACGTCACCAACGAGTGTGAGTCGCCCGAGTACTACTTGGGCGCGGTCGTTGCTGCGTTTCTTTTTTGTGTACCTGTGTTAGTGCCAGTGCGAGCCAGTCCCGTGCCCAGTGTCGTAAGAGGGAGTTTTGTTGTAAAATTCTTTTTTGCGATGCCACAGGATCGGAGGGCGGGTGAGGCGGCGGCCGACCGTCGAGATGCCGGCGGTGGCGGCGGTCGAGCGGGCGGGCGCGAAGGCCGGGCGAGGCGGCGGGCGGCGGGCGGGGCGGCGGGCGAGGCGGCTGGCGTCGTGGGCGAGCGTAGAGGAGGAGGCGCGGGTGGCAGGCACAGGCGCGGGTGGGGGTTGGGCGGGGGGCGGGGCCGGGAGCGGCTCGCGGGTTGGTCCGGTGGGGGGGGCCGGGCGGGGCGGGGCGGGGTGGATCGGGTCGGGTCGGGTTGGGGCGGGGTTGCTCGGGTCGGGGGGGGGCGGGGTTGTGGGGTGGGGTGGGGATGTCGGGGTGGAGAGTGGGTGGGCGTCGGAGTGGGAGTGGTGGTGTGACTGCTCCTGTGGTGCGGGCGACGGCAGCCGCCCGAGAATTCTTTTTGGAGCCGCTGCACCTTGAGAGCACCTTGGGAAAGCACCTCGGTGAAAGCAGGCGCCTCCTCATGGGCTGCGGGACGAGCAAGCCAGCTGCGCTTACCGCCGCCGACCACAAGGGTTGCCCGCTGCTGGCGGCCCTCGACAAGCAGCTCCTCGCCGCCCTCCGCTCGGGCGCCATCAAGCTGCTCCGCGCCGAGTTCCTGCGCACCGACGGCTCCGAGGCGGTGCTGCCCGAGCTCCTCCGCCGGCAAGAGCTGGAGCGGATGGAGGAGGAGCGACGCATCCGCATCTTCCTCACGCCGAAGGAGGCTGTTGCGGCGCTGCGCTCGCTGAGCCGCGAAGTCGCCGGGCTGACGTACGGCTGGGCCTCGCCGGACCACCCCGACGTGACCGGAGAGTATCTGGCGAACGTGC